AAGGAAAAAAAGATGCAGTTTTTTATTCTTTATAAAAATAAAATTTAAAAATTCCAAAATTTTGAAGTTAAATATTTTATTGCCAGGGGACAACCCCCCACTCTTTTCTCGGAGCTATGTCTGGTTCTTGCATCAAGGCGTTCAATTTTAATTAACTTTTTTTGACCTAATTCAATTATTCTTTTAGATTTGAATAAAATTCTTCCGAAGAATTCAATTATTTACATATATATAAATAATTCTTCGAAAGAATTAAATTATTACAGATAAATAACAAAATTATTCCTGAAAATTCAATTATTTTGAGGCATAAAATGTAATTATTCTTAAAAATTTAATTTCAATTCCTGGAAAAAATAAATTATTTACAAAAATGTTTTGTTTTTAATTTTTTGGAAGAATTTAATTATTTACAAAAATATTAGAATTTTTCACAGGCATTCAATTATTTTCAAATATTTTAATAAAATTGTTCGTAAGAAATCAGTTATTTTATATACAATTTTAATTAATTTTTTTTTGAAATAATTCAATTATTCTTTTAGATTTTAAAATTCTATTATTTTCATAAATTATAACAATATTCATCACAAGAATTCAATTATTTTCAATAATAATAAATTTTCCCTTCGAAATTGAATTATTTTAAAAAATTCTAATAAAATCGATCGCAAGAATTTAATTATTTTCATAAATAATAAAATGCTTTTTAGGAATTCAATTTTTGAAATTTAATGAGATAGGTACCACATAGACATTTAATTATTTTAAAAAATTTCAATAGAATTCTTTGTTAAATTTATTTTTAAAAACTTTTTGCAATTCAATCATTTTCAATAATTTATTATTTTCATAAAATTTCCAAACAGAATTCAATTAGTTAACAATTTTTTTGTAAAAATCCTCGTGAGAATTCAATTTTTTTCATGAATAATGAAAATAAATTTTTGTCAGACTTGTGAAGTGTCTAAAACGAGTTTGTTTGGTAGTCAAGTTTAATTTTTCGATAGCTACTTTTCTTATACTTTTTTTGGTTTGAAATCTACTTTTTGCTATTTTTTTCAAATTAATTATCGAGTGCGAAGTTTGATTGTTAATAGTTAGTAAATATTTGCTTTAATTTTAATTCTTTTTTATTTTTATACTTTATGTATTTAATAATAAGGACATTATATTATTTATATAACTATAGAAATAAAAATTATATGCTTTTATTATTATTATATTATATTAATTAGGGAAACATAGTCAAGGTTGGACCACCTTTTAAACTTTGTTTATAACTTTAAAAAAAAAATTTAGGCAATTGAGTTATTGCAATTAAAATAGTATTATTTTATATAAAATAATATTTAATAAAATAAAATAAACTTTATTTATTTTATTATTAAATAATTAATACTATATTCTTTGTTATATATATAATAATAATAATAATAATAATAATAATATGTACGTTCTACAAAGTGGACAAGCCTTATCCGCCTATTATACTAATTCCATAATGAATCACCATTCGTGCAGTGATTACGTTTCGCTGCTAATTGATCTCCCCCCCGTTTTCTCGTTAAATTGCTGATGAGCGTTTCCATTATGAATAATAATTCATTTCGTTTGTCAGTTCGTGAAATGCTTTCTTGATTAATTGATAATAATCCGCGAGTGTGTTAAAATCTCCAAATTTCCCCTCCTAATTTTCAAAAGGAAACCCTTTTTCAATATTGACCTAAATATTTGCCTCTTAACTCTTATAAATATTTACTTAAATTTTTCAGGTTCTATTTGCATTTTTTAATTTTTAAATGTTGACCTTAATTTTTTTAAGGTTATGTTTTGCTTTTAAATACAATTAATAATTGTTTTTAACTATTAAATAAAGACCTAACAATTTTTTAGGGTTACTTTCGTTAAATTTTAAATATAGAGACCGAAAATTTTAGTTTTTAGTAAATTTGAAGTACAGAGACGAAAAATTTTTAGTTTTCGTTAAATTTTAAATAAAGACCTAAATTTTGAAGGTTATGTTCGTTAAATTCTAAATATAGAGACCGGAAATTTTAGTTATCGTTAAATTTTAAATAATAGATACCGAAAATTTTAGTTTTTGTTAAATTTTAAATAAAGGCCTAAATTTTTAAGGTTATGTTCATTAAATTTTAAATATAGAGACCGAAAATTTTTGTTTTCGTTAAATTTTAATTGGATAAATTTTTAGGATTAAATATTCGCCTATTTAACTATTAAATATCGAGTTAAATTTTCAAGTGTTTCACTTTAAAAAGTTATACTGAAATATTTTGAAAATTATTTTCTTCATCCAAAACAAAAATGAGAATGAAAATCTTGAGAAACTCATTAGTCCAATTTTTAAGTTAAAGAAAGAGAGTGTAAAAGAGAAAGAAAGAAAGGGGGGGGGGAGAAAAAACTCCACGTCATCGAAAACAACTTTAGGTGTATATCTAAAGAAACCACTTTGAAAGCTTCACAACTCCCTAATGACTTGTAAGTGAGATAAGAGGAAGAAGTTTCGATTCTCGTAACGAGGATGTCACCTCATTGTAATCCTGGTTTGGTTTCTTGTTTTCTCGTGGGGGGGGGGTTTCCTCCTTAACCCCATACTTTCTTGTCTTTTTTTCTTTCCCCGGACTTTCTTAGTTAAAACTTATTGAAATTTTGTTGACAGTTTTTTTTTTTTTTTTTTTTTTTCTCAAGTTTGCCAAGTTTTGACAATGTTACACGCTTTTAAAAAGTTTATATATTTAATGGAGCATCTTATGAAAAAGCTGTATGGAAAATTCTTTACTTAATGGATTCTTAATGACCTCTTCTGGTATGGGCCGAAGGCGACAAAGAAGAACTTCCCTCTCTCTCTCTTTTTTTTATTTTCCCTCTCTCTCTTTTTTTATATTTTCCTGTTTCGAAAACGAATTAAATTATTATTTTCCATTTTATTCAAACAAAAAAGGAAAAAAATAAAAAAAAAATTAAAAAAAAAATTTTTTTTTTTAAATAATAAATTAAAGTTTTGACCCGATTTTTGGAAGTAAATTCACCTTCAGGTTGGTTCTAAGTTTAAAGTTTTTGTTTGCCGACATTGGCCCTTATAAAAGCTATCGTTCAATTTTTTTTTTTTTTTTTTTTTGAGGGAATGTTTAGTTTATGACCTTATGAGATATTGACCTACATTTTAATTTTTTTATTTCATTTTTCCCCCTTTGTTTATTACGTATTTTTTTGAAATTATGTTTTCTTTTATGATGATAATTATTCTATTGCAGAATCACCCTAAATGACCTAAATTTGGAGGTTGTTTTTGAAAAGAATTTAATGAGTCAGCGCCGGTTAATTTATTTTATATTAAAAATAGGGAGTGATTTATTATTTATTAATAAAATGTTACAATAGTTTTCTATGTGGGAAAAATAAATTTAGAGGTTCTTAATGTTAATGATAATAATAATAATTAGGTATTAATTTTTATTTTTTGAAGTCGACTGTTGAATTATTATTTCTATAGCAATATAATAATTAATTATAATGTACAATATTATTAAATAATAGTATTTCTTTATTTTTTTAACAATATATTTGAAAATATAAAATAATAATAATAATTATGTTATAATAATAATATTTTCGCTTTTAATGAGGTATTTTCATTTTCTAAATTAAAAAAAAAAATTCCATTTTGTATTCCTATTGTTGCAACATTTTGTTATCGATATTTAAAAATGTAAAATAATAATAATGTTATAATAATAATATTTTCGCTCTTAATTAGCGATTTTCATTTTCTAAATTTAAAAAAAAAAAAAAAAAAAATTCCATTTTTTATTCCTATTCTTGTAACATTATGTTAACTATATTAAAAAATGTAAAATAATAATAATAATGTTATAATAATAATATTTTCGCTCTTAATTAGCGATTTTCATTTTCTAAATTTAAAAAAAAAAAAAAAAAAAAAAAAAAAAAATTCCATTTTTTATTCCTATTCTTGCAACATTTTTTTAAAACTATAATTAAAAATGTAAAATAAAATAATAATACTAATAATAATGATAGTTATAATAATAAAAAAAGAGAAAATATAAGGGAGAGAGTGAGAGAGAGAGAGAGAAGGTATGATAAGCCAAATGATAATTACAGAACCGTCTGACTCGACAAATTTATGCTGGAATGAATTATTGATAACTGAATTCCAATCACCGTCTCTCGTTTTCCCCTTAATTCTGATATATGTAGAAACGAATTTTCGAGAGTCGTCATGTCGCTCGGATATTGGAAATCGATTTCAATGTCTCGTTATATTTAATCCCTTCCTCGTTGATGCGTAATGAATTATTTGCCTCCTCGTACGATCGGCACTTTAATTTTCCCTCTTCTTTTTTTGCATTTAATATTATTTTCGCTCTTAATTAGCAATTTTTATTTTCTAAATTAAAAAAAAAAATTTCACATTTTATTATTTCTATCCTTGCAATATTTTTTTTTAACTCCTCTTTTTAAAACTCTTTTATAAAAAATAGAGAATCAGAGAATTTTGAATTTAATTTTACTATTTTTTTTATTTTTTTTATTTAAAAAAAAAATTCTATATTTTTTTATTTCTATCCTTGCAATATTTTTTTCTTCAAATCTTTAATTTTCCTCTTTTTTGCATTTAATATTCTTTTCGCTCTCAATTAGCATTTTTTATTTTCTAAATTAAATTTTTTTTCTTTTTTTTTTTTTAATTTTATTGTCAATGATGGATTTTAGTTAATAAATTTGTTAAGATAAATAGTCAATTTGACTCAGAATAATCGTTAATTTCGCAGTCTTATTTATAATAATGAATATAATTAGCAAAAAATTAATTAATTAAAAAAAAGAAGAAAATTTTTTTTTAGACATTCTCATCGTATATTGCAATAATAATTAAAATAATAATTATAATAAAGAAAGAAATAATTAATTTTCGATATTTTTCTTTGTTTCAGGTACGTGTGAAAATTTATCATCATTGTTCTATTCAGTTTGGTTCGGAAACTTGAAATTGAAAAGGAAAATAGTAAAACGAATTGGGTGAGTTTTTTTATTTAAAAAAGATTTATATAAATTGACGCGAAACCATTCTTCTTAGCTTACTTTTTAAGATACATTTTTTTAATGTTAAAAATGAAAAGTAACATTAAAAAAAAAAAAAAAAAAAAAAAAAAAAAATTTTGGCACATTATTAGTTATTTTAACTAGAGCGAATTATTTATTTATTTATCTTAAAAATTTCTAAAAATTGACGCGAAACTATTCGTAAGTAGCTTACTTTGTGAGATACATTTTTTTAAAATCAAAAATGAAAAGTAATATTAAAAAAAAAAAAAAAAAAAAAAAAAAAAAAAAAAAAACTTATGGTACATTATTAGTATTTTTAACCCGAGGAACTTAATTCTTTAATTAAAAAAACGTTGTTAATTTTCGTCAATTTTCGTACACAATGTTTTTCTTTAATTAAAAGCAAAAAAAAAAGTGCAATAAAAGCAAATGTAATTGAACGTACATTTCTTTTGTGTGAGCGTGTTTTTTTAAATGATTTTCTCAGCCCTTGTGTTTGTGTGTGTATAGATGTTTATTTTTCATTTTATCCAAAGGGAGCGTAAATAGGCCCTTAACTTGTTTTTACTTAATATAGAACAAATGAAGTTTAACGATTTTAATGGAATAAATACCGAGGAGTGAGAGAGAGAATCGAGTTGTATACAACTTTGTTGTATGTGCTCAATTTATTCTGATCTCTCACGAGCCCAGGGAGCTGATTAAAGCCTTTGCCCCATTTACTCGATTCCCTCTTCGTTTATTGTAACTATATATATACACACACACCAACATTTAGTCGATATAATGAAAATAATTAAAGCTCATCTATCTCAAAGGATATCGACTCTCCTTCTCTGATTATTTGTCACTTCTAATCAGCCAACGTACTATATATACATATGTATAATTTCAATCAGGATGCATTTTTTTTTTTTTTTTTTTTATAATAAAAAATACAGTTGGAGGTTTTATTTATTTTATAAACCAGTCGGTTTTATTTATTAAAATCACAAAAAAGAAAAAATAATTATTATATAAAAAGAATTTAAATCTGGAATCAGTTTTTTTTTTTTTTTTTTTAACCGAAAAATAAAGCCACAGTTATTATTTATTTTATAAACAAGTTCTTGTGATTATTACCAGAGAAAAGAAAAAATAATTGTTAAATTTTTAAACAATTTAATTAATAATATTTAATTAATAAAAGTCATTTTAACTAAAAAAAAGTTGGGGTTAATACTACAAAAAATAGGGGTTTTTAATTATTTCACTTAGGGGTTAAAATAGAGATTTAATCTATAAAACTAAGTTTTTTTTGTAAAATCAGTTCAAAAGAAAAATGAAAAGATTTTTGTTTTTTCGTTAACAAAAAAAAAAAAAAAAAAAAAAACAATAATGATCGCGTGAGAAAAGGAATTTAAACCACAAGCAAAAAAAATTGCATAAAATGAGAACATCTTTGTACTCGCATGTGCCAGAAGGCGTGAATGACGAGGAAGCTTATCGTGAAGATTAGGAAACGAATAAATTACTCTCTGAGAGCCATGAGCTTCTTCGTGTCTTTCTCACCCCTCTCTCACTCTCTCACTCTCTCGTCTTCTGCTTTAAACCAAGTTTCATTTCCATCTGCCTTTCATCGAACTCCTTTCATTATCGTCTCGTCAACAATATTTTTTTATTCAATTTCTTTCACTCTTTACTTTTCATTTGTGCATTTCTTTTAATGAACAATTTTTTTTCTCGAAATATTTATTTTAACCCCCTAAATATTTTTTTTAAAAGGAAACAAAAAATTTTGTTCGAAATATTTATTTTAATTCCCTAAAGAGGTTTGAAAATGAAAAGTTTAGAAAAAAAATTTCTTTTCTTGAAATATTCATTATAATCCCCTACAAATTATTTTAAAAGAACATTTTTCTAAAACAAAAATTTTTTTTGCCTCTTATTTATTAAATTTTTTTCACGATATCTCTAGAAATAGTTAGAGATTAAGAAAAAAAGAGAGAAAAAGGAAATTCTTTCTCAATCGTCGTAATTTAAAAGACACTAAATTTCCACTGAGTACTCGAAAATATCTTCACTATCTCTCTCTTTCCATCCCCCCATTTCTGAGATTCCTACGGCGCACCGGAAATGTCGTTTTTGCTTCTCAAGTGCATACATACAATATATGTGTATATATATATAGTGACGACACGTGACTCTCTTACTGACAAACTTTGAAAAAAAAAAAAAAAAAAAAAAATGCCGTCAATCGAACTGGGCGCGAAGATAGACACAAATTTATTGCTCCTTTGGGAGATAAGGGGCCAGATTATTTTTTTTTTTTTTTTTGAGAAAAGAAACAAAAAAAAAACCAATAAATATATAATGACGCCTGTTAATGATTTTTATGGCACTAAACTTACGCTAGGCTCTAATATCTTTTTCGTCGACTCATAAACATTCTGATATAAGTCAGACGACAATGAGGGGGACAAAAAAAAATGTGTTTTCTAAAATGATGCGCTCGTTTGAATTCCATAAAATCGTAATTTTCCTCTCACCCCCCCCCCCTCTCTACCATTTTCTCTTGTTGCCTCTCGTTTTCTCACATTCTCTTCTATTTAACGACTAAAATGACTAAAATAACTAAAATTTAACAACTAAAAATATACACTTAAAATAAATTCAAACGATCTTTAAATTATTTTCACAGGTAATTTTTCTGATAGAGAATTTTTTTTTGGGGTTAATTTTCCAGATTAGAGAACATTATAAGTTATAATATTTTTAAAAAATTATGATAAAAAAACTTTTAAAATTTATTTTTAAATAATTTTTTATAAAGATAATAGATAGTCTATATTTGATAATCTTAAACGAAATTTATCAAATTATTTCGATTCTGAACCCCTATTTTTACATTAGAACCCCTATTTTTTGTATAATTTAAACTCGTTTCTGTTTTAATTTGAACTTCTTTATCCAAAAAAGAATCAAATAGTTTCAAAAAAAAGTCAATTTTTATATTTTTTTAGGAAATAAAATTATTTTCGAAAAATTACATTAGAATATTGTCAATAACCTAAATCTTAGAATTGTTTTATTATAACTTTTTAAGATTTACTTATCTTCAAACAAAGTAAATTAAATTTATTTTAAATTTACTTCTTTAGATTCTTATTAAAATTTTAGAAAAATCATGTTTATATTTATAATTAAAATTCTTCAATAATTTTATTTATTTATTTTATATTTTTCAAAAATTCAAATTATTTTTTAAAGATTTTGTTAAATTTAAATTAGTTTTGAACGATTTTACCAAAATTCAATAATGTTTTAAAAATATTTTATCAAATTTCAACTATTTTTAAAACATTTTGTTAAATTTTAATTATTTTTAAACGATTTTACCAAAATTCAATTGTTTTAAAAATATTTTATCAAATTTCAATTATTTTTGAAAGATTTTGTTAAATTTCAATTATTTTTAAACGATTTTACCAAAATTCAATTATGTTTTAAAAATATTTTATCAAATTTCAATTATTTTTAAAAGATTTTGTTAAATTTCAATTATTTTTAAACGATTTTACCAAAATTCAATTATGTTTTAAAAATATTTTATCAAATTTCAATTATTTTTAAAAGATTTTGTTAAATTTCAATTATTTTTAAACGATTTTACCAAAATTCAATTATGTTTTAAAAATATTTTATCAAATTTCAATTATTTTTAAAAGATTTTGTTAAATTTTAATTATTTTTAAACGATTTTACCAAAATTCAATTGTTTTAAAAATATTTTATAAAATTTCAATAATGTTTTAAAAATATTTTATCAAATTTCAATTATTTTTAAAAGATTTTGTTAAATTTCAATTATTTTTAAACGATTTTACCAAAATTCAATTATGTTTTAAAAATATTTTATCAAATTTCAATTATTTTTAAAAGATTTTGTTAAATTTTAATTATTTTTAAACGATTTTACCAAAATTCAATTGTTTTAAAAATATTTTATAAAATTTCAATAATGTTTTAAAAATATTTTATCAAATTTCAATTATTTTTAAAAGATTTTGTTAAATTTCAATTATTTTTAAACGATTTTACCAAAATTCAATTATGTTTTAAAAATATTTTATCAAATTTCAATTATTTTTAAAAGATTTTGTTAAATTTTAATTATTTTTAAACGATTTTACCAAAATTCAATTGTTTTAAAAATATTTTATAAAATTTTAATAATGTTTTAAAAATATTTTATCAAATTTCAATTATTTTTAAAAGATTTTGTTAAATTTCAATTATTTTTAAACGATTTTACCAAAATTCAATTATGTTTTAAAAATATTTTATCAAATTTCAATTATTTTTAAAAGATTTTGTTAAATTTTAATTATTTTTAAACGATTTTACCAAAATTCAATTGTTTTAAAAATATTTTACTAAAATTCAATTGTTTTAAAAATATTTTATAAAATTTCAATAATGTTTTAAAAATATTTTATCAAATTTCAATTATTTTTAAAAGATTTTGTTAAATTTCAATTATTTTTAAACGATTTTACCAAAATTCAATTATGTTTTAAAAATATTTTATCAAATTTCAATTATTTTTAAACGATTTTACCAAAATTCAATTGTTTTAAAAAAAAATTGTTGATAAAATTCTAAGCAAGCATTAAATTATTTTTACAATTATATTAAAAATTTCACAGGAATTCAACTATTACAAATTTTTTATAAATTATTTCGCAATAATTCAGTAATATAATTTATTAATTAATTCATAAATAATAAGATTTTTACAAAAATTCAATTATTTTCGTGAATAATAAAACTCATCATAGAATTGAAATTATTTTTAATACAATTAAAATTGAATTCCTCGAAAAATTTAATTATTCTTGAAAATTCTATTAAAATTCCTGAAAAAAATTCAATTTTGTTGATAAAATATCAGTTAAAATATCAGTTAAAATTTTAGATAATAATTGAATATTAAAAGCATTGTAGCATGCATTTTTAAAAATAATTGATAATTGAATTCTTTCGAAGAATTTTAATAAAATTTTTGAAAATAATTACATTTTTCAAAGAATTTACTTAAAATTTTATTAAACATAATTGAAATCCTGTGAAGAATTTTATTAATTTATGAAAGTAATTGAATTCTTCCAATGAGTTTTTTCAAATTTTTTTTTAAATAATTGAAATAATGTAAGGATCTTATTATTTATGAAAATATTTGAATTCCTGCAACAAATTTTATTACAGTTTTTTTTAATTAATTGAATTCTTTTGAGAACTTTTATTAAAATAGTAGATTTTTAAAATATTTGAATTTCAACGAAGAATTTTATTATATATTCGTGAAATGTAATTAAATTCTTGCAAAAAATTTAAGAAAATAATTCCATTTTTCTAGGAATTTACTTTAAATTGTATTTATAAATAATTGAAATCCTCATAGAAAAATTTTATAATTTATGAAAATAATGGAATTCTTACAACATCTACGAATTTTATCAATTTTTTTTTTAAATAATTGAATTTATGTTGAAAAATTTTATTACTTGTAAAAATAATTGATTTCCTGCAACGAATTTTATTACATTTTAATTAAATAATTACATTCTTTTGCGAACTTTTATTAAAATAGTAAATTTTGAAAATTTTTGAATTTCACCGAAGAATTTTATTATTTGTGAAATGTAGGTTAATTTAATTATTCTTGCAAAAAATGTTTGAATATAATTTTTATTTTTCGAGAAATATGTTTTAAATTGTATTAAAAATAATAGAAACCCAGTGAAGAATTTTATTGTTTATGAAAATAATTGAATTCTTGTAACGAATTTTATTATAAATTTTGTAAATAATTGTTTTTTTTTGAAAAATTTTATGTAAATTAAAATTTTTATAAAATATGAAGATACCAATTACTCCGAGAGTGATTGATATCTTCATGTTTTTATAATAAATATTCTTATAAGTTTGTTGAATTTTAAAAATGTTTGAATTCGAATGTTTTGAAGAATTTTAATTTCTATGGAAAAATAATAATTAAATACTTATTTAAAAATTTAGTTATTGATGTTCAAACTATTTTATTTCAAAAAATGAAAAAAAGTGTTAAAATTTAATTTTTCTCTCAAAAAATAATAGAAACGAAAAATACAAAGTGAACACCTGGTGGTTTTTGCGCGAAATAGATGAAAAAGAAAAATAAAAAATAAAAAAATACCATAAAAGAGTCTCGGTAGCTGAGAATGGAAAAAGTTTCTCTCTCTCTCACTCTCAACTATATGTATTTACTCGTAAAATATGACTCCGTTGGGAGAAGCCGCGCCATAGAAGTTACGAGTCACGTGAGAGGGCAAGTGTGCGGAGGAGTCTTATTGCTCGAAATAGTGTATATTACTTTGGTGTGTGCCCCCTACGATAGATACATTTTGTCTTTCTCGAAACAACTTTTTTTTTCTTCTACACCCCCATGTTTCCTCTCAAATGAAAAACAGAGAGAGAAAGAGTGTTTCTCGTTGACTGTTCTTGATGGCCCCTTAAATTTCTCAGTCCTTCCATCCAAATTATAGGGGACACATTAGATCCTCTTTTTTTTTTTTACTGATTTTATTTATTTTTCCTGTCTCCATTTCCATGTTATACACAATGTCGATAATAATTCAAGTCTTTTACGAGTCTTCCGTCTTCTCGAAATAAATAAGAAAGTAAATAAATATAAATGGACTTTTTTTTATTGAGGCATTTATCTATTCTTAATAGCCTGTAATAATTTTTATTACTCTATTTAAACATACATTAAAAAGAAATTTTTTTTAGATTACTTTTCAATTTATTCAAGCTTTGAACCTCTGATTATTTGTTACTTGAACCCCTGTGATTGTAATTTTTTTCTTATTCTAGAACTCATTTTACTTCTTGAATTCCCCCCCCCCAAATTTTGCGCATTTATTTTCAATTTTGAAATTATTTAAATTTATTAAAACTTTGAACCCCTAATTACTTTGTACTTGAACCACTTTGACGTAATTTTTTTTTTCTTATCATACAACTTATTCTCTTTGTTAAATCCCCATAACTAAAAAATTATTTTTATTTTCGATTTTGAAAAATTTATTTAAACTTTGAATCCTTAATTATTTTGTACTTGAACCCTGTGACAAAATTTTATTCATTGTATATAGATTATATTATTACATAAATCTTGCCCCTTAAAAAAACCAAAAATCTTTATATTTTCAATTTTGAAACTCTTTCAATTTATTTAAACATTGGACCCCTAATTATTTTGAACCCCTACTATTTCATTACTTAACTATATTTGTTAATTATTTTAATTGAACCTCGCTAACACTAGAAATCAAAAAACTATTCTTAAAAATTATAATCAAATTCTTTGCAACGATTCAATTATTTTCAAAAAAAAATTCGAAATTCAATTATTTTCAATATCTAGTATTTTCAACTTTCGCAAAAGAATTTAATTATTTAGAAAAAAAATTGATAAAATTCCTTCAAAATTCAATTGTTTTCAGAAATAATAAAAATTCCACAGTGTGAATTCAATTAATTTAGAACAGCATTTTAAAAAAAAATTTCGAAATAATCAATTATTTTTAATACAATTTTACAGCAATTGCTTAAAAAATGTAATTATTCTTAAAAATTTAATTTGAATTCCTCGAAAAAATCAATTAATTTACATAAATATTTCTTCGAAATAATTCAATTATTAAAGATCAATAACAAAACTATTTCCGAAAATTCAATTATTTTTTAGGTATTTTTAATATACAATTCTTTGCAAAATTCAATTATTTTCATTAAAATAACAATATGCAATACAAGAATTCAATATTATTTTTCAAATTAATTTTTTTCATGGAAATTCAATTATTTTAAAAAATTCTAATAAAATCGTTTGCAAGAATTCAATTATTTTCATAAATAATAAAATGCTTTTTAGGAATTTAATTATTTTCATAAAATTTCCAAAACAGAATTCAATTATTTGAACAATTTTTTGTATAAATCTTCGTAAGAATTTAATTCTTTTTATGAATAATAAAAATTTCTCAGCAACTCATTTATTTAAATTAGAATTTGCATAAAACTAGTCGAAAGAAATTATTTAAAATTTTTTATAAAATTCTTCGTAGATATTTTCGATGAAAATTAGGAAAAAGTCAGGAAAATAAAAAATATGGAATAAAATTTTTGTCAGTTTTGTGAAGTGTCTAAAACTAGTTTTTTTGGTCGTTAAGTTTAATTTTTCGATAGCTACTTTTTTTTCTTTCTTATTTTAGTTTGAAAGCTCCTTTTTGCTACTTTTTTAAAATTAGTTATCGAGTGCGAAGTCTGAGCAAAAAGAATAAATTAAAAAAAAAGAAATAACATCTCTTTTTGAGACACTCTCATCGTATATTACATCAAAATAATATTTCTAAATAAATAAATAATTTTTCGATGTTTTTCTTTGTTTCAGGTACGTCTGAAAATTTATCTTCACTGTCCTCTTGAGTTTGATTTAGAAAATTTGATATTGAGAAAGAAAGTATTAAATCGCATTGGGTGAGTTTTTTTATTTGAAAAATTTTTATAAATTGACGCGACACTATTCGTATTAGCTTACTTTTTGAGGTAAATTTTTTATAAGTCCAAAATAAAAATTTAATAAAAATGACCTTTAAAAAAAAAAAAACCTGCAATTTTTTCGAACCCTAGAAATTTAATTTTCTTCTTGAACCATTTCGAAAAATCTTAACTTTCCATTCTATGAACCTCTATTATTTAATTTAAGCTTTAAACCACTACATTTTTTTTGCAATTAAAAATTTTTTTTTTCTTGAACCCCCTTTTTCCTCTTCAAATTTATTTTCTATTTATCGATCGGATAACTTTGAACTAGAGAGGAGCCTAATTTACATAATTGGTACTGATTTAAAATTTAAAAAAAAAAAAAAAAAAAAAAAAAAAAAAATCTTTACTTTTAGTGGACACAAAGAAAAAAAAATTGCCACGATGATGATAATGATCATCTTGAAAATGAGTTTAGCAATATATATCGTATAACGATAATAATTTATCACTCGAAACAAACATCTGTTCCACGACTCTCTCTCTCTCTCTCTCTGACTCTCAATTGCTCTTTTGTTTGATTTCCAACATCCCTTGTGAATATAATAATACTCAAGCGATTTCATTCAACGACATATGTCCTTCTTGTAAAACCCGGTCACTATTCGCGTGTTATCCTATTTTCGATCTGAAACCCTCATCTCCCCACTCCACTCTCTCATTCCCCCCCACCCCTTTTTCTCTCTCATATCGCTCTCCTCTTGTTTCCGCAACTTTCCCTCGGGATTTCGCATTATATTTATACATATATAGATATAGATATATACAATTCTCAAATTCGCGATGCGTAACGCTTTATCTGAATTAACCCCCCCCCCACTCCCCATTTTCTCTGTGAATTATAAAGTGTATCCCAAAGGAAACAAGAACTACTGCAATGGGGTTTCCGGCGTAAAAATATCCAAATGGACTCGAGGGAATATATCGTTGGGTTATACACCACACAGTATATGAGAAAGAGAATAAAGAAGTGAGGAGGGGAGGGGGTGGGGGGAGAACCATTAACCAGTAACCGTTCATTAGATGGTACACTCGTTGCTAATGGCACGCTGAGGTCAAATTGGGGTCCAGTTTTTTTTTTTTTTTTTTTTTTCAAGGTTCTACACACCTGACAGAGTACTTGAATTGAAAATTCCCCTCTCCCCCCTTCTGCTCTATATGTACTGTTTGACTTCTTTCTTTCATGGAATATTTTTTTTTTTTTTTTTTTGTTATGTACATAGTAAATTGTATGTCAAGTGAGAGAGCTTATTACCCCCCCCCTCCTCTTCCTTCTATTTTTCTTACTCACCTTACATATTGCTATAGAATTTACTTCCGGTCCATCTCTCAAAATAACAGTAATTAACTATATATCCAGTGAATAACGATTGTTGAACCGTTTCGAATTTTTTTTTTCGTTTTTATATTGTATTGTGTATATTTGATACTATAGATATTTTTTTTTAGTGCATTATGGACCAGGAGAATTGTGGTGGTGGGGGGGGGGGGGAAGGAAGGAAGTAAATTTTTTTTACCAATTGGAGCAATTATTTTTACATTTTGCTTTCAACATATATACGAATAATCATTTACAAAAATTGGGAAATTGTCTTTCTTCTTTGATTTAAATTATATTCCTCTAAAATTGACAAGTTTTTTTTTCTTTTTTTTTCTTTTTTTTTTGTAATGAATTGTGTATTTAGTGGTACAAAATAGGAAAAAAATAGTTAAAAATTTTCGGAAACATCCACAATTTTCATCTTTTTACAAAAAAAAAAAAACTGTGAAATAGGCTATTTTTGCCAAAATTCAAAACCAAAATATTTTATGAAGATCACGCTAAATTTTAAAATAATTTTTAGTGAATGGTTTATTTAGTGATACAGAACAGGAAAAACATATTTTGATTTCTCGAAAAAGACCACAATTCTCATCTTTTTTCAAAAAAAAAAAAACTGCCCCAAACTGAGAAAAAAGTTACTTTTGTCAAACTTTAAAATAAACTTCATGAAGACCACGCTAAATTTCAAAATAATTTTTAGTAAAGCGTATATTTAGTGATACAGAATTGAAAAAAATTGATCTTATTCGTAAACGCCCACAATTTTCATCTTTAAAAAAAAAAAAAAAAAAAAAAAGGGAAAATTAATAATAATTGTACCTATAATAAAATAATAATAGTTTATTATTAATAACAATAAAAATAATAATTTATTATTAATAATAATAAAAATAATTTATGAATAAACAATTGCAAAAATTATTAAAAATGACAATTAAAAAAAAAAATTTTTTTTGAAAAAAGTTTTTAACAGGAAAAAGGGGGGGGGGTGTTAAAATATTTTTTAAGATAGGAAGGAAGGCAGAAAAGAGAGAGAGAGAGAGAGAGAGAGAGAGAGAGAGAAATAAGGAAAGAGAGGAAATAGGATAAAAAAATGTTTTTAAAAAAATTATTCTTGTCAACTTTTATAAATTACAGTACTATATATTTAGGCTACTTCTACAAATATATTAATAATAATAAATCATTGACTTTCCGAGGTGGGAGGGGGGGAGAAAAACATTTTTTTTCATCTTCTTCAAGATGTAACACTTTTTTTTTTTTTTTTTTTTGATGACTTTTTATACACTTGAACGGGTCACTAATGACATATGAGTGTATGTTTGTGTAAGTTGAGGGCGAGGAAAAAGAAAAAAAAATACCTCCCTTCCCCCTTCACAGTCCCTTTGCCCCTTTTCTCCTCTTGTAACACACACTGACGTCCTAAATAAATAGAGAATACCAAGTGAGAGAGAGAGAGGGATAATTTTAAAAACTAGTGAAACCTGATGTTTACATTTTCCACACTCGCCAAAAAGAGAGATAATAGTAAAAGGGTGGGGGAAAGGGAGAGAGAGAGAAAAAAAACTAGTTTGTTACTTTACTGTCGAGATTCATTATTTTTTTTTAATTTTTTTTTATATTTAATTTTATATCCCACTTGTCTTTTATTACAGGAATTCTCATTCTCCCCCCACCCCCTCTTTCTTTCTTTCTCTCTCTGTCTCTTCGTGAGGAATGCCTTTGAATACACTCGAGTCACTAAAAACCCTTCAAGTTCTGGAATTTTTCCTTCTTCTTTTTTTTCTATATATTTTTTTATTTGTACATTCTTTTATACAGTGTAGAAGTCCAAATGAACCAACAAAATTTATTGAATACTTTTCAGAAGTAAGGGTGGGGGAAGGAGAGAAATTCCCTTATTTTTTTTTTTTTTTTTTTTTTTTTTTTTGAAGAAATTTTCTCTCTTTATTGTAAAAAAAAATTGTACATTTTTTTCCAAATTAAAAACTTTAATTAAAAATTTTTCAATATATTAACAAAACTTTTTAAACTATCAGAATTTTTTTCTTTATTCCTTATTTTTTTTCTTTTATTTTCAAAAATATTTGATCCACATTTGAATTTGTTAAAAATAACTAATTGCTAGTAAAAAAGTGTCTAAATGTTTGTATTATATTTGTAAAAAAAACTCATTATTAGTAGAAATATAAATATTATTATTTTTCTACTAATTTTTTTTGCTAATTCCACTTTAGAGATTCAGAGTTTAATAAACTTGTAAGTCCTTAATTTTCGGCAAATTCAAATTTAATTAATTTTTTTTTTTTTAATTTAATTTTTTTAATTCAAACAAAATTTTGTAATTGAAAAAAGCAAACAAACAACGAAATTGATAAAAGAAGGAAATTGTTTTTATTTTCGAGAAAAAAGTATAACGTCAGCTGGTGTGAGATTTGAGAAAAGATATCTCTAATTTTAGGGTAACGAGAAGATTTGGTTCTTGTGAAAAGGGAGCAAAAGGCGAATGGGGGTTAGGGAAGGAGGATGAGGAGGAGAGGGGGGGTAAAGAAATAAGGAAGATACGCGCGTCCTGCTGTTGCAGTTTCAGCGTCATCTGGTCTTCGTCTTCTTATAAAATGTGGGGTAAAATTCGCCGCACATGGTAAAAGGATCGCTTTTCCCCGAAAAAGGTCATATCGACCTCTGCCCCCTCCCACCCCCCTTCTACTACTACTGTTTTTATACGTTTTTGAAACTAGCCGCGCATCTAGATTACAAACACAATTTTCCTTTTTGGTGTCATAATCTCAGTACGTGTTTACAAACCAGGTCCCTCTCTCTCTCTCTCTCTCTCTCTTACTCCTAAATTTTATGGCACGTGACTATTTTTTTACCCCCTCTCACTCTACCCACCCTACGAAATTTGAGATTACAGATTGCTAACTAAAGTAATATTTATTTTTCTTACGAGGAGAATATTTCCGGTGAAATTTATACTACTAAGATATTAGAGAAAAAATAATAAGTAAAAAGAATTTTTTTAAACCCTCCTCCTTTCTCTACCCCCCCCCCCTCCTACTACTGCTGCATAATTTTAAAAATAATAATAATATATTTTTGTTCGCTGAACATGATGCCACGACTAATAATTACCGATCAGATCAGAATTTTGCGAAAATTTTGATTTAAGATAAAAAAAACGAAGAATTTTGAAAAAATGGGGGTTAAAGAATCTAAGAAATTATTTTTTCCCTAATTTTTGATATTGGAGTGATTTTCAATATAAGTATGTCTTTTGAATACGATTCTGTTTCTTAAAATTTACTAAAACATATTAGAATTTTCAGAAAAGTGGGAATAAAAATTTTAAAAAAATTAATAAATTTTGAAAAAAAAGTGAGTGTGAAGTCTCAAAACAAATTTATGTTTTATTATTTTTAATATTGGAGTGCTTTTCAATATTTTTTTGTTCACTGAATATGATTCCGCTTCTTAAAATTTCCTAGTATGTCAGAATTTTGAGAAAAGTGTTGGTAAAAAGTCAAAAAAGCTTTTTGTTTTTTTTATTTTTGTTATATTAGACTGATTTTTAACGTATTTTTGGTCGCTAAACATTATGCCATGGCCA